CGGCTGAGGCAGCGGAGAGGCTGTAAGCGGCGGCGGCGCCGGCGCCGGCTTCCGTGTTGGGCCGGGGCGGGGGAAGGAGGGGGGGAGCCGGCGGAGGTGGGGGCGAGGAGCGGCCCCGGCGGTAGCGGGAGGGCGCCGGGTGGATGGGCGGTTGGCGGCCGGTGGTGGTGGCGGCGGCGGCATCTGTCAGGCGGCGGCGGCGTTCGGCCGGGGCGCAGGGGATGAGCCTGTGAGGGCGGCGGAGCGCGGGGTGGGGGTGAAGCCCGGGCGGAGCGGAGCGATGTCTCAGCCTCAGCAGCAGCCGCCGCCGCCACCGTCGCCTCAGCAGCAGCCGCAGCCGCCGCCGCCGGCCGCCGCCAAGAAACGGGACCGGCGCATCTTCTCCGGTACCTGCCCCGACCCCAAATGCCAGGCTCGGCTCTTCTTCCCGGCCCACGGGCCGCAGGGCAGCGGCAGCATCGAGTGTACCGACTGCGGGCGGCGCCACGAGCAGCGGCAGCTGCTGGCGGTGGAGGAGGTGACCGACCCCGACCTGGTGCTGCACAACCTGCTGCGGAACGCCCTGCTGGGCGTCAGCGGGGCCGGGCCCCCCCGCAGGAACACCGAGCTCGTCAAAGTCATGGGCCTCTCCAACTATCACTGCAAGCTCCTGGCCCCCATCCTGGCCCGCTACGGCATGGACAAGCAGACCGGCAAAGCCAAGCTCCTCACCGAGATGAACCAAGGAGACATCTTTGACTGCTCCCTCTTGGGTGACCGCGCCTTCCTCATCGAGCCGGAGCACGTCGAGACCATCGGTTACGGAAAGGACCGCTCTGGCAGCCTCATCTACCTGCACGACACTTTGGAAGACATCAAGAAGGCCAACAACAGTCAGGAGTGCCTCATTCCCGTCCACGTGGATGGAGATGGCCACTGCCTCGTCCACGCGGTCTCGCGGGCGCTCGTTGGCAGGGAACTGTTCTGGCATGCTCTGCGAGAGAACCTAAAGAAGCATTTTGAGGAGAATCTGAGTCACTACAAGGCGCTTTTCCATGACTTTATCGATGCAGCAGAATGGGAGGACATTATCAATGAATGTGACCCTTTGTTTGTTCCTCCAGAAGGTGTGCCAATGGGCCTTAGGAATATTCACATCTTCGGTCTGGCCAACGTGCTTCACCGGCCTATCATCCTGTTAGACTCATTAAGTGGAATGCGAAGCTCTGGAGATTATTCAGCCACTTTCCTCCCCGGTCTGGTACCCTTAGAAAAATGCATGGGAAAAGATGGCATGTTGAACAAGCCAATCTGCATTGCGTGGAGTAGCTCAGGACGTAACCATTATATTCCTCTAGTTGGAATAAAAGGTGCTGCTTTACCTAAACTGCCTAGGAAGCTACTTCCTAAAGCCTGGGGAGTTCCTCAAGACCTCATCAAAAAGTACATCAAGTTAGAGGAGGACGGTGGTTGTGTTATTGGAGGAGACAGAAGTTTGCAAGATAAGTACTTGATGAGGCTCGTTGCTGCCATGGAGGAGGTTTTCATGAGTAAACACGGTATCCATCCCAGTCTTGTAGCCGATGTACATCAGTATTTCTACAGAAGGACTGGTGTCATAGGAGTCCAGCCTGAAGAAGTCACTGCAGCTGCCAAAAAAGCAGTGATGGACAACCGCCTTCACAGGTGCCTCATCTGCGGGGCCCTTTCCGAGCATCACGTTCCTCCAGAGTGGCTGGCTCCTGGGGGGAAACTCTATAACCTGGCCAAAAGTACCCACGGCCAGCTGAGGCCTGACAAGAATTACAGTTTCCCCCTCAACAGTTTGGTGTGTTCTTACAACCCGGCGAAGGACGTGCTGGTACCAGACTATAACCTGAGTAGTTTGACTGCTTGTAACTGGTGTCACAGTAACTTAGTGCGGCGCGTCAGAGAAGATGGGTCTGTTTCCTATTTGGATGGAGACAGAACTAATACCAGGTCTACAGGTGGCAAATGTGGCTGTGGATTCAAGCACTACTGGGAAGGTAAAGAGTATGATAACCTCCCTGAAGCTTTTCCTATCACTCTAGAGTGGGGTGGAAGAGTGGTGAGAGAGACAGTCTACTGGTTCCAGTACGAGAGTGACACATCTCTGAACAGCAACGTGTACGATGTGGCCATGAAACTGGTTACCAAGCACTTCCCTGGTGAGTTTGGGAGTGAGATTCTCGTTCAGAAAGTTGTCAACACAATATTGCACCAAACTGCCAAAAAGAACCCTGATGATTATACCCCTGTAAATATCGACGGTGCTCACGCCCAAAGAGCTGAGGATGTCCAGCAAGGACAAGAGTTGGAGTCGCAACTCCCAACCAAAATTATTTTGACTGGACAGAAGACGAAAACTTTGCACAAGGAGGAGCTGAATATGAGCAAAGCTGAAAGAACTATTCAGCAGAACATCGCAGACCAGGCTTCCGTAATGCAAAAGAGGAAAAGTGAAAAATTGAAACAAGAGCATAAAGGGCAACCTAGGACTGCTTCTCCTGGGGCCGTTCGTGAGGGGCCATCGTCTGCACCTGCTACGCCAACGAAAACTCCATATTCTCCAACATCTACAAAAGAAAAGAAAATTCGGATAACCACGAATGACGGGAGGCAGTCGATGCTTACCCTGAAGTGCACCACCACCTTCTTGGAACTGCAGGAGAGCATAGCGAGAGAATTCAATATTCCTCCCTACTTGCAATGTATTCGCTATGGTTTTCCTCCTAAAGAGCTTCTGCCTCCCAAAGAAGGGATGGAAAACGAGCCCGTTCCTTTGCAGCACGGTGACAGGATTGCCATAGAAATCCTGAAAGGTAAGGAGGAAGGCAGGCAGTCTGCCTCAGCACACTCTGCCCGGGCCGGGAAGCATGAAGATGTTGCTGTGACGAGTAAAATCTCATCGAAGGAGCTGCAGGAACAAGTCGATAAGGAGATGTATTCTCTGTGTCTTCTAGCAACGTTAATGGGTAAGGCTGACTTCAGGTTACGCTTTTAAATTGCATTTTTAAGTAGAAGATAACATTTTACAAACTGTAGTTACATACATATTTTTTTTTCTGTAACCACAGAGGTTAGTTCCTTTAATCCTCTATTAGAAGAACATCTAACATGCTGTCAGTACGTTGAGCATTGTGACTTTTAGAAATGTATACACGAGATAGTTTTTCTTCCTTTGCTATAAGATACTCTTTTAAAAATTGCGGTTTAGAAGTTGTTGCATTTCCTTTTCTGTCTGCCTGTCTCTGTTTTTCCTGTCTCTCCTTAGGCACACGTTTGATGTGTATGTGTGTGAGCTACATGCTCTCTGTTTTTTCCTACACCTCCCTCAGGTTTTGGGGAAATAAATGCAGAGCAGAGGTGAGAAGGGGACACTGAGTGGCTGCTCATTGGAAGTTTGAGGACCAAGTTGTCACCTTTGTAGTAGGATGGAGTCCTGCCTGGCATTTCTCCCTACAGGGGGATTGTATTGGTTTAAGCAAATCAACACAATGTTGTATCCCTTACTTAATCCGCTAATTTTAAGCGAAGATCTGATCATTCTGAAGAGCTGTGAAAAGTATTAATTCAGAGTGTAAGCAGAGGAGGAACTAGAAGAAGCTAAAGACAGACTTGAACCCCAAAGGTGGACGTAGGGTTGCAAAGCTATTCTTATAAATCATCAGTCATATAAATCTGACTAAGTCTTAATAATCCAAGGTGAAAGGACTTTTATCAAGTGCCAATGGGTTTTATTTTCATATTTGGACTCGGGAGACTTGGACCTTTGTCTGTGTGCTTTCCTCATCGGGTTTCACAGTTCTTGCTGCTTGCTGGCAGGAAGTAGAATAGTAATTATCCTACATTTAGCTCTATGAACCAGTTGAATAGTAATGTTTATAGGCCTTGTGTGTTGTTTTGTTTTTGTTTTTTTTTCTGGGATCCTTCTCTTTTGCTGGAGGGATTTGGTGTGGCTAAAGCATGTGATGGTTTAGAAACGAAACCATTACATAATCCCAGAGTGGTGTGTCAGAAGTTCATCAAGCAGAACTTTGATTCTTTTCCAAGTCTAATTGTTTACTCCCGTGTCTCTCGCAAGATAGGGTGCTGAATCACTACCCACCCCACCGCAGTTCCAAAGTGCAGGAGAAGGTTAGGTTTAAAAGCTGTCTTAATTTTGAAATGAAGCTTAAAAGAGTTCTTTCCTGTTTTCAGGTGGTACTCCTGAAAATTTAGTTATTGGCTTACTTTTAAAGTGCCTCGGAGTTTTTTTGTATCTCAGTGATTTCAGCATTAAGGTGTCTCTTTTTTTTTTTTTTTTTTTTTTTT